TTTTTCACACTGGTGCTTTGCATGAAGGCTCAAAGTAAGCTGCTCTTCAGTGTGTTCAAATCAATTCAAGATTATTTGGAAAAGTTAATTGAGAATGGGAAACTATTAAATTGAAGATCAAGCAAAATTCACTGGTTTTGTGGTTATTTTACATAATGTGCTCTAAATATTTAGATCAGGCACCTGTAGAGTCAACTATTCAGTAAATTTAAATAATTTGTCATGTAGATTAATCTGACACTCGTGTGTTCCTTTTATCAACCCACAGAGAACTGACTTGAAAATCTCATTATGTTAAAATTTAAAAATAATTCAAAAATAGTGTGTTTCCTTTTCAAAAGAATTAAGGAACATTTTGATTCTAGCTTTTTAAAGAAGTATATTTCCACAATAAGTTGCAATGTAAAACAGAGAGAAGGATTCTCCTTAATATCTATGTGTATATATAGAGATCATCTGGAAAATGAAAGATTTTTATCAAAATGTTAATAGTAATTATCAGTGGACGGCAAAATTTCAGGTGTTTCCTTTTTGTTTCTTTCCTGATTTTTCTCCAAAAATTGTGGAGTTAAAGGGAGAGAGGAGAGTAGAAGAGAGAAAATAAACGAAACTAATGTTCAATGGGAAGTGGCCCTTCAAGTAAATCCTTGATCTTCACACTAATACCAAGGGAGTTACTACAATCTCATTTTTACAGATGGGGAAACTGAGGCCCTCAGAGGTTGCATCTTGCTCAAAGACATACAGTGACTGACAGGCTAGATCTAATTCTAAAGAGCATACCTGTTTATGTCAGATTATGACTTCCATAAGAGATGGAGGAAAGAAGACAGGAGTAATTTGATTGGTTTCTCTTTCCTTTTATCCCCTCTACCTTTCCCTCCACAACTAGTAAATTCATCAGGATTAAATTAATTATACAGTCCACTATGCATGGGAGACACAAGTGACTGCATTATTAAATTCCTCAGAACCTACTTCCCGTTAGTGGAGTGACAGCATTAAGCGTTTCAGAGAAGCATTCTAGCACCTTGGATCTGGTGTAAGCATTAGTACTAATAGCTTTCCAGAGGTAACAGGAGTCACTGCCATTTACACTCCAAGGAAATTATTTTCTTGAATCAAGATCAGGAAGAGGTCCTGCACATTGCTATCTATGGTTAGAAATGGGAATACATGAAATGAACACAGAGGATCATCTTTCTTCATCCACACTCCCCTACTACCTCAAGCACGTTAAGAGGTAGGGGACAGAGTGAGGAAGAGAGAAGATCAGAGGAATATAAAGACCAAGGAAACTGGAATTCACTTCGAATTCATTATGTATGATCTTCAAGTTTCCATAACTGAAACTGCAGGTTTTGCTTCAGCACATAAATCAAATGTGTCAGAAAAAAGGCTTTAATCTAATTAGCATCTGTGCTTTTTGCACTTAAGAAATGTAGTCTGTTCATCCCAAACCAGTAATACTGACATCTTTATTAAAAACAACAATAGCATTGTGCACAGCAATATATGAAGTTAAGGGACTGAATGGAAAAGCTACAAATATACTTTAGCTCTAAAGACCATTGACTAGCTTTTAGAAATGAAAACAAAATGTGTACTTTACCTGTCAAGATTTAAAGTTCCTGTGTATATAAACTCCAACAGTTTCTGAAATCCATCAGCCTTCACTTGACTCTGATCAAGGAAGACATTGTTCTCAGAAGTGCTTCTGTAGATCGCACCAAAATACTCACTAAATGAGGCAAGGACATTTCTATGAGCTTTAAACTGGAATTCCCCAATCACTACGGTGCAGTCACAAAGAAAACCTGCTTCCCGCTGTTTGTTCAGTCTCTCTAAAAGGTGCTCACAGTGGTGCGAATACTGCATTTTGATATCAGAATGGAATTTTACCCTTGTTCTAAAAGACAAAAAGAGACAGTAAGTCAGTAACCCTAAGTTTTCATCAAACGTTTCACCCAAGCAATTGGTAAGGGGAGAAGGGACATAGAACATGAACAAGAATAAAGTCCTCACTTGCTGCCCCCACAGAAAATTCTTATCAAACAGAGTAGTTAAAAATGCTGAGGATTAAGTGTCTATCTTTGGCCAACTAACACAATCGTTTGGACACATCAATATACGGCGATGCGTGAAAACACTTCCACGAGCTGAAAAAAAAGCACCGCAAGATTTCACGCTTTGCAGCAGTTGAACCTCCAGGCTTCCAAGCTCAGTACGCATGCATGTGTTGGGGAAAAAACTAACAAACCACTAAGAAATGACTCCTTTGGACAGATGAGGAAAAAAACACAGTATGAGTTCTTTAAAACCGCTCTCAAATCCCCACAACCTGTTAGTTTTCCGTGGTGCACAGAGTTGCTTCAAAACGCGGGGCGGGTGCCCAGGAGGCGGAGAAGGAGCAGAGAGCCAGAGTTGTCAAGGTTCCGTCACTAGCCCGGAGGAGGCCACACCCCCTCTCATCCCCCCTCCCGACGGCAACGGAGAGTGACAACCAAAGCCAGTCTCTCCCGGCTTCTGCCGCACTGCCCTTCGGCCAGCTCCCACGACTACCTCGGGTTCCCACAGCAGAGGTTGTGGCCAAAGCCAACACCGGGGCTGCCTCGCCCAAGCCTTCCATGTTAATATCTCCGCCTCGACCTGAATTCAAACTCCATGAAGCCTGCTCACTCCTGACGCCGCGTCCGGAGAAAGCAGGATTGACAAGCTGGGGCGTGAAGAAAGACTCACCTACAGCAAATCAAGGGGCAACAGTTTCTTCACGCTCTCTCCGCCATCTTGGAAGGACGTCACCGCTCCCCGCTCCGCCTCTTCCTTCTTCCTCTACGGAGACATCATATCCGGCCCGGGCGTCCAGAGGAAACGCTGGAGGCTCTGGGACCGTGGAGGTCTGGTACCGGCGAGGACGGACCGGGCTGGCCCGCAGAGATTTCGCTCTTCTGCATACCAGGGTCTCCAGCGAAACTGCGAACGTCGTGGATACGGGACTTAAGGGTTCATTCGCAGCGACCCGCTTGTCTTCCTCATTCTAAACATTCTGGTCGGCCGATAGTCAGCATCTCGCGTTCAGGGCCGAGGTCGGGCAGCACCGCCCGAAAGTCCTCTTTCCGGGAGCCAGATTGCGCACTGCATGCTGGGGCTTGTAGTTTCTTGGTTTCTCCCATCATCCTCTCCTTCCTCGGGACCCCCGAGAGTGGGAACAGCTGCTTTGTGTCTTTAGGCTCCTGGCCATAGAGGATTTTTGAACTGAGACTGGTCACTCCTTTTCAGTTTATGTACCCGAAAGCTCTTGAGAACCCTTAATTGTGTTTGCATCAGCCAACTGTAGCTTAGTTTTCAGGATATCCTTACCTGGTGTTAAAAGTCTGAGATGCAAGAAAGCGGGGCAAAGCAGTAGGGCACCTGGGCACACGCAACATTGCAGGAAGGTGGGGTTTATACCGCAAAAGGTTCTGCGTCTGGACCAGGAATGTCTTAACGTAATAATTTACATCGAATTCAGATTTTGTACAGTGAAAAGAATGCCAGTTATCTGTGTAACATACAAGAGGCACAGAAACTGTAGGATAAGTCGTGTTGATATTTTAGGGTGAATTTTCCCCTAGTACTTACGGATATCATAGTTCTAAGAAAACCAGAACTACATTTATTCTTGTTAAAGATGTGTCAGGACCATAGACTATTTACTCATGACTTCATTTTAAAAGACAGTCTCAACTGGAATTTACCCATTTCTTCTGAGATTTTTTTCAACGACACTGTTTGCTCTTTAACTTCTTTTCTCTAGGCGGTGAGAAACATATTTGTGAATAAAGCCACTACCATAAAGTTTACAAGGGGAAAAGTTGAGGCTGGCTCTAGATTACACCTTTATGATTCCACTTTTATATTTTGTTGAAACTTTTCGGTAGTTCATTCAGAAATATAAGTCTCTACCAGGTGTTAAGCACGACACTAAGTATGTATAAAATAAGACTAAAACATGGTCTCCCGGCAATGAGGAATTTGCAGTCTGAAGGGGAAAACTAACGGAAAACCACATGACTTGTAACACAAAAGGTGCTTAGGAGGCAACAAGGCTAACAGTTTTACCGCTGTGTTTGAGCTCCTCTCTAGGCTGTTTGTTACATTATTTTTAAGTAGTAGGTTGTGATTTGAATTTTTTTTTTTTTTGAAGCACTTCCACATGGCAAGCTGTCAATAAAAACATTTGCTGAATAACATAACCAGGGTGAAAGTTTAAATTCTCACTGTTCAGTAAGTTGCTATTAAGAATGTGTTTTAAAAGTCTGGAATAATTGGTAAGAACCACATGGCTCCGTTTCGGGTGAACCCGGTAGAGGGGTGAACCCGGTAGAGGAAAAAAAAAAAAAAAAAAAAGCTGTTTCCGCCCGGTTTCGAACCGGGGACCTTTCGCGTGTTAGGCGAACGTGATAACCACTACACTACGGAAACTCGGCTATGTGCTGGGGTTCAGAAAGTCCTTCATATGGAAGTAGTAATTTGGAGTTCACAGGCACGTAATGTTGAGCTAGCTTTTAACAGGAAAAGTAAAACAAAACAATCAGAAAAGGAAATAACTAAATGTTTAATTGTATAGTGCTGAAACTATTCTAAAAGTTGGAATTTGCATGCACTTTTTTTCAGACTCTTAGGTACCGCTGCAGAAACCAGGCACTCGCTCCTTGCCCTTCCTTTGAGTAACACTTCTGTGGGAAAGAAATGTTTTATTTCGTATCCTTTCCTGGAGAGACGTTGCTCAGAAGGCAGGGTGTAGTGCGGGGCTTCAGTGGCCTCCCTCTTCTTGCAGAGGCTTGCAGCACCAAGTGCCACGGCTGTTACTTAGGTGACCCTTTCAACCTCTGGTGGAGAGACAAGTAAATAGCTTTTGAATTTCCTCCCCTGCTTTCAGAGACCAACCAGAGGTTCGAACTTGCTGAGGTGTTTTTAAATGCTCTACATAGTGTGTAAAATTGAGGGGGTAGGGGCAGGTGTTTGGCGGCCGGTGACCGGTGGCGGGGCCGCGGGCTGCCTGCAGGAACAGGACGGCAGCCCCACCGCGCGCTGGTGCCAGGTCTTGGCGGGCCCGGCCGCCCTGCGGCCTTACTCCCAGGTAATAAATCATCATTAGTCAAGATGTCTTCAGCACCAGAGTCTCCCGGCTTTAAAAAGGAACCACCCAAAGAGAAAGACTTTAAAAACCCAGGGCTCAGAGGAGTCCGCACGACAACCTTATTTCGGGCTGTGAATCCAGAGCTCTTCATTAAACCCAACAAACCTGTAATGGCTTTTGGACTGATAACCCTTTCCCTTTGCGTGGCTTATATTGGTTATCTACATGCATCCCAGGAGAATACAAAGGATCTCTACGAAGCTATTGATAGTGAGGGACACAGTTATATGAGGAGGAAAACATCTAAATGGGATTAACAGTGCTGGATGCTGCAGACGGAGCTTTGCTAAAGGCCCTGAAATCTTCTAATGGAAGACTTTGTGAGTGCACAGTATTATGCTCCTTGTTCTAGAATGTGTTAATGAGGAAGGAAGGTAGCAGTTGTGAACGGACCACTAGACTACATCTCATCCTGCAGCCCTTACCCCATTCTTTGTTCACAGCAAGAGCTTCTCAATATTTTTCTTTCATGAAGTCCTTGTATGAAAGTGCCATTAAGAATGGAAGTTGTTTTGGGGCACCTGGGTGGCGCAGTCGGTTAAGCGTCCGACTTCAACCAGGTCACGATCTCACGGTCCGTGAGTTCGAGCCCCGCGTCGGGCTCTGGGCTGATGGCTCAGAGCCTGGAGCCTGTTTCCGATTCTGTGTCTCCCTCTCTCTCTGCCCCTCGCCCGTTTATGCTCTGTCTCTCTCTGTCCCAAAAATAAATAAACGTTGAAAAAAAAATTAAAAAAAAAAAGAATGGAAGTTGTTTTTGTGAATTAACTTCTATATAATAAAAATATAGTGCCGGTGCTGTTAAAATAAATAAATAAATAAATAAATAAATAAATAAATAAATAAATAAATAAATAGAGGGGGTAAAAAAATCAGACACCAAAGATGCACTTTTTGGCACACAATGTACTTAAATTTTTCTAAACCTAAACTTCATAGGACCTAAGGAATATCACTTTTCTTGCAAAGAGGCAGACACATCCTTATGCCTAAAAATCACGTCTTTTTTTTTTTTTTAAGTTTTTATTTATTTTCAGAGAGAGAGACAACAGAGTGGTGGAGAGGCAAGAGGCAGAGAAAGAAGGAGAGAGGGAGAGAATCCCAAGTAGACTCTGCACAGTTAGTGCAGAGCCGGATGCGGGGCTCCAACTCAGGAAACCGTGAGACCATTACCTGTATTTTTTAGGAAATAGGAATGACCTTCATATTACATGGGGGATAACCAGATGAGATTGCTAAAAATCAATCAATCCAAAAAAGTGAGCTTCTACCATTTTGGTTTTGACTACATTTTGCTTAGAAACTGCAGGAAAGAAGCGCAACAAAGTATTTGCCTGGTGTATAGAAACAATAATAAAAGTATATAAAGCCCACTTTAAATCCTAGCATTCTTTCCTTTGTGTTTTCAAAAGTTGACAAGGGTTTCCAGAAGCACAAACCGGGCGTCTTCTGTGACAACTTTCTCTAGTCAAATCTTCCCACCTTTTCCTAGGTTCAAGGGCACATTCTAGAACTTTCAACATGCCCATGGACAGACACATTAACCAGAATTCAAAGGCTTTGGAAAAGAAAACTTTTTATGACTCATCGAGGTATTGGGGAAGGCCTCTTGTGAAGGGTTAGATTTATATCATTAGTGAAGAAAGTTGGGTTTTCCTGATAGTGGTATCCCGGGATTCCAAGGGGGTGGCAAGTGACCCAGCCCCTGTGAGATGCAGTCGGGGGGTGGGGGTGGGGCGCAGCACTTTGGAGGGTCAATGGGCCTGGGCTCTCCAGGGCACGCCTGCCAGGCGCAGGCCCCGTGGTCAGGCCAGCGCTTCTGTGACGCGACGTTCCAGGCCGTAGGCCTTCTGGCGCTGCCCAAGGGCCCGCGCTGCGCACTTTCGCTCCCTAGCGTAGCCCGCAGCCAGGGCAGCCCGAGCAGCCAGGAGACAGGAGGAGGAGGCGGCGGCATGAGCTACTACTACCAGCTACCAGTGGTGATCGACAACGGCTCAGGAGTGATTAAGGCGGGCCTGGCTGGGTCGCGGGAGCCCCAGTTCGTCTACCCCAACATTATCGGCCGGGCCAAAGGACAGGGCTGGGTAGCGGAGGGCGCGCTGGAAACGTGTGTAGGTGACCAAGCGCAGGAACGGAGAAACTCGTTGTCCATCAGGTACCGTCTTCTCACAGCGGGCAGGACCCTAGTGGAGCGGAAAGAGGGAGGGTCTAGATGAGGGGCATAAGGGTGAGAGAACAAGGAAGACAGGAACAGGAAGTTTCAACCCGCTGGTGCAGGCCACAAATCTCTGAGGGTACCAGACATCTAAAGGGTTAGCATTACTTGCTCTTCGTATGTAAACAGATCTGTTCAAATGTATAAATAAAGTCACCGTTCATAATGTACAAGTTTATTTAAGGATGTCACTTTCTCCCTGTGGGTTATTTTCTTCAATTAATTGATATTAAAACTGTACTATTATGTAAAGATTTCCCAATTTTTAAACTTCGTTTAAAGTTTATTTATTTTGAGAGAGAGGGAGCAGGGGAGGGGCAGAAAGAGAGAGGGAGAGAGGGAATCCCAAGCAGGCTCTGCCTAGAGCTTGGGACTTGATCCCACCAACTGGGAATTCCTGACCTGAGCAAAGATCAAGAGTCAGATGCTTAACTGACTTAACCCAGCCAGGTGCTCCAAAGACTTCCCCCCATTTTTTTTTTTTTTTTTTTAAAGATTCTTTGTCTTCCAAAGCGGGGACAAATGGAAAGCAACAAAAATTGCAGAGCAAGTCAGCTATGCAAACTTTTGCTGGCAGTTACCTTCTCTAACTGGCTGTGACAGTCACTGCCCACAAAGGGTACTGGTAATAAGTATGGGGATTAACCCAGGTTTGAAGAGAGTAGGTGCTGAAAAAATTAAAAGCTGCCACTAAAAAAAAAAAAAAAAAGCTGTCACTTATCTTACTGCTTTTCCTACAGCTACCCAGTGGAACGTGGTCTCATTACTTCCTGGGGGGACATGGAGGTCATGTGGAAGCATATCTATGATCATAACCTGAAACTAAAGGCCTGTGATGGCCCAGTCTTGATTACGGAGCCAGCACTGAACCCACTGGCCAACCGGCAACAAATCACTGAAGTGTTTTTTGAGCATCTGGAGGTGCCTGCCTTTTATATGTCCATTCAGGGGGTGCTGGCTCTCTTTGCTGCTGGCTTCACAACTGGTTTTGTGCTGAACTCAGGTGCTGGGGTTACCCAGTGTGTGCCCATCTTTGAGGGTTACTGTCTGCCTCATGGTGTCCAGCAGCTAGATCTGGGAGGCCTTGACCTCACCAACTACCTCATGACACTGTTGAAGGAGCAGGGCATCATGCTGCTTAGTGCTGCAGACAGAAAGATTGTTGCAGACATTAAGGAAACTTCTTGTTACGTGGTAATGAACTACGAAGAGGAAATGGCCAAGAAACGTGATTCTATAGAGAAAGTTTACCAGCTACCTGATGGGACGATGATCAAGCTCTATGACCAACTCTTTCATTGTCCAGAGGCCCTCTTCTCTCCACGTCTTAGGAACCTTCAGACCCCTGGCATCGATAAGTTGTGTTTCAACAGCATAATGAAATGCGATACAGATCTAAGGAACTCGTTTTTCTCCAATATTATCCTTGCTGGGGGATCAACCTCTTTCCCCGGTTTAGACAAGAGGCTAGTTAAAGGTGTAGCAAATATGGTACCTGCCAATACTCCTGTGCAAGTTACAGTTCCCCCAGAAAGGAAACTATCAGTGTGGATGGGAGGCTCTATTCTTGCATCCCTGTCTGCTTTCCAGGACATGTGGATCACTAAGGCAGAATTTAAAGAAGTTGGACCCAACATAGTACATCAAAGATGCTTCTGAATACAGATAAAATGGTTAGAAAAAAATGCTTTGAGTATATGTGACAGAAAACTTTGGATATCATATGTGTCTGAGAGAACAGAAAGTATTTCAGTTGTTGGAATGTCCATGTCTCTTCCATTTCTGTGATGGGTGAAGCAAACAACCTGTTTCTGGAGTAGAACCAAATTAAATGCTAGAGGAAACATTATTCTTGACCTTGAAGTTCTCATCTTTCCCTTGGAAAAATTTGTAGTGCAACATGTGTGCCAACTGGGTGATACAGATTTAAGTTTGTTGAGGTTTACATAATGAACAAAGCATATTCAAGGCATGCTTAATAGACTGGTTTTATTGAAATAAAGAGTTCACATTGAGCAGACTAAGAGCAATGACTAGGAAAGTAAATGAAGGCCAAGGACTGGAAAGGGAGGCTTTGTGTTACACGTCCTATAGGCAAAGGAGAACAATTAAAGAATGAAAAGAAGGAAACATAGGAAATTAAGATGAATGTGGCAGTGGTTTGGAGAATAAATTGGGCTGGGAAGGCCCTGGAGATTTGGTGATCAGTTAACCAGTTATTAGTCTAGATATAAAGTAGTCAAGTCATAAGACTCAAGATTATAGACAATAGGAATTCAGAAGAAGTAATTACAAAAAAACCTGACAAGTCTTGGTATCTAGTTAGATATGATGGGGGAAGAGTCTGAAATGACCTGGGTTCTTGATAATGATGGCAGTATTCATGTAACTCAAAGTATTTCATATCTGCTCTGTGCAAAGCACTGTGTTAAGCACAATGACTGCTAAAGCAGGAGTGAGATCCTGTCCTTAAGAAGCCAGCAGTCTAGTATAAGAGGTGAGATTTATGCCTTGATTATAATAATACTAGGTAGAAAGTGATTTGGTGTCCTAAGAGAAGCATAAAATGGTCTGGGGGTTCATAAGGAGGAAAATACATTGAGCTCTCGTGGAAGACTTTCTGGTAGATTTGGCTCTGGGGCTAGATTTGAAAGCTGAAATTTAAACCTAATGTAATGCCCTTTCCTCAGAATTCAGGGGCAGCACATGTGGATTTAGGTCGAGGCTCTACCACCTACCAGCTGCATGAACATTTTGAAGATAAATTTTTCTTATCCATAAAGTGGGGCTGCTAATCCCTGTCTGTCTCACAGGGTCATTGTAAATTCCAAATAGGATAAACCCTGTAAAGATACCTTTTAATTTTATTCTTTTTTGTTTAGTACATAAAACTATGTACTAAAATATAAAGAGAGAGAGACAGAGTGCAAGTGGGAGAGGGGCAGAGGGAGAGAGGGAGACACAGAATTAGAATCAGGCTCCAAGCTCCAAGCTGTCAGCACAGAGACTGATGCGGCTCGAACACACGAACTGGGAGATCATGACCTGAGCCAAAGTCAGACGCCCAACCCAACTGACTGAGCCATCCAGGCGCCCCTAGAAACTTTTCGAATACAATGAAATCTGTTATCTTCTGTTGTAGAATTAGATGCTACTTCCTCCATGCAGTCAAAATTCATTGTGTCCTCCAACGCATTGTTATTTGTTCTTCTATTGACCACTTAATTTATGCAGCCTTATCTTTTAGTTTGCTTGTCTTTCTCCCGCAATAGATATGTTCTTAGAAGATAGGGATTGTGGGATTTCCCTTTTCATCTCTATCCCCTTCCCTGATGCTCTCTATGGTGCACTCCCAGTAGGTATGTAGATACGGAGAATTGACCAAAAGAAAATTCTGGGCAGACGTAACAGGGCAAAGATTCCAAGGTGTAATAATGATGGGCACATTGTACAAGGAGAAGTGGGCCTGAGTCAAGCATTTGTGAAGAGGTGTATTTCATTCCTAGGTACTTCTCTCCCACGTCAGTGATTATAAGGAAAACTAGATTGGATACCGTGTAAAAAATGATTATCTGAGGGCACTGTGAACAGTTGATGCTGCACTCACCAGATTCACAAGCACTGTAGAGAGCATGAACTTATTCTTCAGAATTCTGAAACTGTTTTCTAAAAGAAGATAGAGCTATCTACACATTTATCTAATTTAAACTTCAACATCTCAGGGGGGCCTGGGTGGCTCAGTGGGTTAAGCATCAGATTCTTGCCTTCAGCTCAGGTCATCAGCTCGTGGTTGATAGGTTCAAGCCCAGGATTGGGCTCCATGCTGACGGTGTAGAGTCTGCTTCGGATTCTGTCTCTCCCTCTCTGCCCCTCCTCCTCTTGCTCTCTCTGCCTCTCTCTCAAAAATAAACTTAAAACACAAAGCAAAACTTCAACATCCCAGAGAGATGAGTGATATGCCCCGATTCGAGAGACCCCCCCTGAAAACAAACCACCAGAGTCCAGAGTGAAAGCCAAGCGGCAAGGGTCGTTTATTGCAGGTTCGAACCTGGTGCTCCGCGCACTAGTTGCCGGTGACGCTAAAAGGCCCTGAGCGAGGATCTTACAGCTTCTTTTATAGACGGGCACAAACAAGTTAGGGATTTTTTTTTTTTTTGCGGTTACAGAGCTGTTATTGGTTAACATTTAAATTTGAACACTCAGCAGAACTTGATTGGTTCCCGCCTTTTTTTCAAACCACTCAGCAGAACTTGATTGGTTCCCGCCTTTAGGTCAGACCACAACCTGGCGCACCCTGGCTGATTCTGGGAAGGCAGGGGGGGGTGGGGGGAGGTCTTTTCTTTGCAGTTGTGAGTACACCTGGTAATTTTTCTCTTAGTCTCTCAATGAGCGAGACAAGCATTATTCCCATTTTACAAATTTAAAAAATTGATATTTAAACAGGTTAAGAGATTTAAGTTTAAAGCGATCCCAAAGTAAATTGCTTGCTACATTAGTCAGGCAAACAATTCCGAACCGTGGTCTGAGGTAGTTAACTCAACAACCTACCTGGAATATTCTGTACTGACTCCGGCCTCTAACATGGGATCATAGATGATCCTTTTCAAGTAATCTAGGGATAGGGAATAAAATGGAAAATCACGTTTATATTTTCCCTGCCCTTAAAATCGTTGGAAACCAACCCCTCTAATATTGTATCTTTCTTTCAGACTGAGGTGTCAATAGCGACAACTCCACAGAATTCACCCAACTGAACATGAATTCTACAATTAGGATCAGCCAGTTATATGTAAAACAATATTATACCATTACAGAAACTTGGTACAATTTACGGTGGATTTTTAACCTAATCATGACACAACATTAAAGCAAAGTCAATGACTGAAAAGCTTTCATTTCCTAATAAAAGGTAAATTCAAATCTTGAATGTTAAGATTAAGAATGAAATAGTTATACTTAATAAAACCCATCCTATGTTCAAGAAGACGTTGCAGAGAGGCCTTCTAAGAAGGGAGCAGGGAAGGAACTCCAAGGCAATCCAACGAGCACAGCCAACCTTCTGGTTTAGCCGAGGCTATCCGGGAATCTATTTTCTTAAAGATCTCTAACAAATGTGACTAGAGTTGAGAATCACTGTCATATTTCCCAGGCCCTAAAATTTTTCTGTGAACTTCATTTTCTTAAGGTGGTCGAGCGCACCGAGGCCGGTCCTTAAGGCAGGTGCACCCGGTCCTTAAGGCAGGGAAAACGGAGCCGTGCAGTAGGACAAGCTCGTTTTTACTTTCAAAGTACGTCGGGAAATACCTAACGCTTTTCCCAGGAAATGTGGGGGGAGGGGCGCAGCTGTCCTCACGGCCGGAAATAGAGCATTCCAAAAAAAAAAAAAGGGGGGGGTGGGTGAGGACGGATGTCGCGAGAACCGCGACGGGAGGGCTTTAGCCAATCGGCGCGTACGGCGGCCACTGTCTTTATAGGGAGCCGCGGCGTTTTGCACCTCGGGTTGTGGAGGGTGGGCCTGGGAGGGGAAGCGGTCAGTTTTTGTCTAACCCTAACTGAGAAGGGCGTAGGCGCCGCGCTTTTGTTTCCCGCACGCTGTTTTTTTCGCTGACTTTCAGCGGGCGGAAAAGCCTCGGCCTACCGCCGTCCACCGTACAGTTTGGAGCAAACAAAAAATGTCAGCTGCTGACTTGCTCGCCCCTCCCAGGACCCTGCGGTGGCTCGCCTCCTTAGCCCCCGCGTCCCGCCTAGAGGCCGCGGTCGGCCCGGGGCTTCTCCGGAGGCACCCATTGCCGTCGCGAAGAGTTGGGCTCTGTCAGCCGCGGGTCCCTTGGGGGGGCCAAGGGCGAGGCTCTGACCGCAGGGAGAGAAACGGGAGCAGGTCCCCGCGCGCGGTGCGCTTCCCTGAGCTGTGGGACTTGCACCCGGGACTGGGCTCAGACACATGCCGCCTGCTGAGGTGTTGTTGGAGGCCCGCAGTCGGCTTTCCAAGGGAAGGGGCGGGGGCGGGGGTGGGGGGAACTCCTTTTGTGCGCGTCGGTCTCCCTTCGCCATCAGTGGTGGGCCTGTGGGGTCGCGATACCCGCGGATTGGACTAGGGTGCGTGCAGATTGGCAGAAGGATGCGTGGAGAACATTTATGAAATTGGCCCAGATGAATGGGCAGTGAGCCAAGCAGTCAGCGAGCCATTCTTTTGTAGGGTTTTTGTCCTAATCCCCTGCCTCTGGTTTTGTTGCCCATTTGTACTTCATGTATTAGCTGATCTGGGGGTTTTGTTGAGGTTTTGCCTTTACGAAAGTAGATCTGGAAAGTAGATCACGCAGCCAGTCCCCTCGATGGGATTGTTAAACATTTCGTAAGTATTTGTTAACCAGAACTAGTGTGTTCTCAAAACAGTGAATATTGTTCCTTTAATGGTGCTAGCTTGTTAATTTTCTTTGCCTCTGCCAGTGGTTGCAAAGCATTAAGTGGCGACAAACGGAAAAGAAGGAAATATATTACCACCCAGCCCCCATTTGGATCTGGTGTTCTTTCAGGAAAGAAAATAAACTGATGGTCTACTAGGTTAAAGGAAACAACCTACAGGCCCTTCTGCCCAGTTATCCCCAAAGACTAAATCCAAATTTACGTATGGATTCATCCCAAAAGAGTGCCTTCACTTCCTTAAGACAGCTATTCAGGGGGTTGTTGCTGGGAGAGATGGTAGCCCGCGACCTGCATTTTAACATTTTTTATAAAAAAAAAAAAAAATTAACATTTATTTTTGAGAGACTGACAGAGCATGAGCAGGGGAGGGGGAGGGAGAGAGAGACACACAGAATCTGAAGCAGGCTCCAGGCTCTGAGCTATCAGCACAGAGCCTGACGCGGGGCTGGAACTCAACAAACGTAAGATCATGACCTGAGCCGAAGTGGGACGCCCCAACCGACTGAGCCACCCAGGTGCCCCTGGGGCCTGCGTTATAAAGACAAATTACCAGGGTGATGATACTCTGCTCACGTCCCGCCCCAACAACGGAAAGAACCAGTCTGGAGGACCATGTCAGCAAATTTGTAAATGTGTGGGTCTGCAGTACCTCATCCCATTACCTAAAATAGGTCCTTCAGTGTTGTCCAACACAATTCTTAGCCCAATTATAGACATGTGAAAAAGCTGGAATTCACTGTTGCTGGTAATGTTCTCTAAGAAGAAGAATAATTTTCCTCAGCATGGTTTTCTGGAAAGCACAAGGGCGAGTAGGTTGAGATAACTCCGCTTCACCAAGCTTCCATGTACTCAGAAGGTGACCTTTTAAGACCACTTGAAGACTGCCAGGGTTCCTTGAACTATAAATAAATGTCTTTTGTTCCTGCTCCACCTAGTGGTACTTTAGCTTCCCCGCATTTACAAGATTTGTGGTATGGGGCCTGCGGCAAGGATGGCCATCTACTGGGAATGTTTTTCTCTCATTTTTAAAAAGAAAATATTAATTGAATGAATACAATTTAAAAATAAGTCCACAGCTGTTTTTTAGTTCTTGTATTTGAAGTCCTCCCTCTGACTAATGTCTTATAAACATTCCAAAGGAAAGCTCTTCTTAGTATTATAAACATTTGATATATTTATTCTAGTTTGGCAAAGTAATTCTCTTAAGTGATACAGTTTTGGAGTAAAAAGGGACCATCAGGGTCATCCAATGATATAATTTACATGGAAAGCTTTTGTGGATAATAATTATGGCAAATGTGAGTTATCGCTACAAGACTTAAATCCCTCTAGCAGATAAAGAACACGCTTAAATGGGGTTAGATGACTTACCTAAGTTAATTACTTGCAGAGTTGGGACCAGCAACAAGGCCTCCCAACTTTAAGTTCAGTGCTCTGTATTTACCATGTGGCATCTTAATGCTGCATTGGTTTGTCTGGGAAGAATGACTAGCATTAATTGCACCATCATTTTCTGGTTTAAAACGAAATCGCATCCTTAATGGTTACTTGCCTGTGAGCTTAGTTTCCACCCCCACCCCCACTCCCTCCACAGCCGCCTTTGATGTGATTTTGTGCTGGAAAGTCCCATGTGTGCTTCACTATTTTACACATACAGCTGATCCTTGTCATTTGTGGTAGTTCTATAAAGTTATAAACATTGAACTAATGAATACTGAACCATTTCTCTAGGGGGAAATATAGAATTAGGTTTCTGTGAGCCTCTGGTCACAACATCTGCACCAACTGATTAAGGCATAATCTTGTTTTATGTGTGTTTCTGTTTAAAGAAATATATTAATATCTTAATATATGTTCAATATATGATTGACTTACTATTTTTAAGACTATATTATTTAACATATAACATTGACATTTACATATATATTTAATATGGATATATCAGTAATGTACTCAAGTTCATATACTCATGCCTGTATGAAGCATATCTAGCACGTGCATTTCCTATATGGATCATATCACAGCCTTCCTTTTTTTTTTCTTTTTTTAAAAGTATTTATTTATTTTGAGAGAGAGAACGAGCAGGGGAGGGGCAGAGAGAAGGAGAGAGAGAATCCAAAGCAGGCTCTGCACTGTCAGCGTGAAGCCTGACACAGGGCTCAAATTCACAAACCATGAGATCGTGAACTGAGCCAAAACCAAGAGTCGGACTGAGCCACCAAGTTGCCCCTGTATCACAGCCTTCTTGCACTTAGGAACACCAGATAGCACTTCAACACTATGCTTGGGGGTCATTTTAAATAACAAAATCAATAACAAAAAGCACAAAAGTACCAAAAAAGTGCCCCTAAATAGAACACAAAAAGGGCAGTTATTTACAGTGTTATTTTTGGAATGAGAATGTAAAGTGTTCCCTTGTTTGGCCTCTGCTGGGAACCTTCAAAATCAGTTGACTGAAATTTTTTACTGCTCTGCATGTGTTTGTGAATGACTGTAAAAACATTGCAGGTATTGATTTGGGGTTTACAAATTTTAGTAGATAAATTCAAAATATGAAACCCACGAATACTGAAGATAAAACTCAAGGTCTCTGTGACACTTGTACCTAAGAGAGACTATAGGTACCCGTCCACATGGCCACTGATGTACTTGGGGCTTGTTTCATGCCTCTTATATTCTTTAAACAAGTGATTTACAGAGCGGTATAGTGGGAGAAAAGGGTATGTGAATTTTGAAAATAATAGTATCTGCCCCACTTATTTTTTTCAGTTAATTATGCCGAATATCAAATAATAAAGGAGGTTGTGAGAATTTTACGCTTATGAAGGAAGCTATAGCTTTAAAGATATTGAGAAACATGGGTTTTGCTTTGTCTTTAGAATGAGAGGCTTCTTTTCTAAGGTCCTCCGTTGGCTCTAGTTTTTGACTCTGAAGATGACATGAATTTTATTTCAGCTTGTCCTGGTTCTGCAGTCAAACCTTTCATATTAGCCTGGCTCAAGACCTTCTAAGAGACACCTGTACGGCACAGGCATGCGTATATGCACACATGCACCCAGACTCACATGAAGTGTAGAGGAAGAGTAGCTTGGAAGTAAGATAATGAAATGGCCAAAGGTAATTGCCCTTCCTTCCCCACACATTCCTTGAAGTTAATAATGTGAGATGGAATGAAAACCGCCAAAACACCCAAGGCCTAGGCCAGGGTTTGTAAATTTAAATGTTTGCCGTGGATGTGAAGGAAACAAAGGAGTGAATCACTCCAAGAATAAGAAAGTAGAGACTAGGGAGATGGTGGGGAGACACGAGTGTCCCTTAGAAAGTGGGCAGCAACGGGGCGCCTGGGTGGCGCAGTCGGTTAAGCGTCCGACTTCAACCAGGTCACGATCTCGCGGTCCGTGAGTTTGAGCCCCGCGTCGGGCTCTGGGCTGATGGCTCGGAGCCTGGAGCCTGTTTCCGATTCTGTGTCTCCCTCTCTCTCTGCCCCTCTCCCGTTCATGCTCTGTCTCTCTCTATCCCAAAAATAAATAAACGTTGAAA